AGGGACTGGCCTCCTGCTGGGACTCTGAGGAGCACAGGGACTGGCCTCCTGCTGGGACTCTGAGGAGCACAGGGACTGGCCTCCTGCTGTGACTCTGAGGAGCACAGGGACTGGCCTCCTGCTGGGACTCTGAGGAGCACAGGGACTGGACTCCTGCTGGGACTCTGAGGAGCACAGGGACTGGACTCCTGCTGGGACTCTGAGGAGCACAGGGACTGGACTCCTGCTGGGACTCTGAGGAGCACAGGGACTGGCCTCCTGCTGGGACTCTGAGGAGCACAGGGACTGGCCTCCTGCTGGGACTCTGAGGAGCACAGGGACTGGCCTCCTGCAGGGACTCTGAGGAGCACAGGGACTGGTCTCCTGCTGGGACTCTGAGGAGCACAGGGACTGGCCTCCTGCTGGGACTCTGAGGAGCACAGGGACTGGACTCCTGCTGGGACTCTGAGGAGCACAGGGACTGGTCTCCTGCTGGGACTCGGAGGAGCACAGGGACTGGCCTCCTGCTGGGACTCTGAGGAGCACAGGGACTCCTGCTGGGACTCTGAGGAGCACAGGGACCGGTCTCCTGCTGGGACTCTGAGGAGCACAGGGACTGGACTCCTGCTGGGACTCTGAGGAGCACAGGGACTGGCCTCCTGCTGGGACTCTGAGGAGCACAGGGACTGGACTCCTGCTGGGACTCTGAGGAGCACAGGGACTGGACTCCTGCTGGGACTCTGAGGAGCACAGGGACTGGCCTCCTGCTGGGACTCTGAGGAGCACAGGGACTGGCCTCCTGCTGGGACTCTGAGGAGCACAGGGACTGGCCTCCTGCTGGGACTCTGAGGAGCACAGGGACTGGTCTCCTGCTGGGACTCTGAGGAGCACAGGGACTGGCCTCCTGCTGGGACTCTGAGGAGCACAGGGACTGGACTCCTGCTGGGACTCTGAGGAGCACAGGGACTGGCCTCCTGCTGGGACTCTGAGGAGCACAGGGACTGGCCTCCTGCTGGGACTCTGAGGAGCACAGGGACTGGCCTCCTGCTGGGACTCTGAGGAGCACAGGGACTGGCCTCCTGCTGGGACTCTGAGGAGCACAGGGACTGGTCTCCTGCTGGGACTCTGAGGAGCACAGGGACTGGCCTCCTGCTGGGACTCTGAGGAGCACAGGGACTGGACTCCTGCTGGGACTCTGAGGAGCACAGGGACTGGCCTCCTGCTGGGACTCTGAGGAGCACAGGGACTGGCCTCCTGCTGGGACTCTGAGGAGCACAGGGACTCCTGCTGGGACTCTGAGGAGCACAGGGACCGGTCTCCTGCTGGGACTCTGAGGAGCACAGGGACTGGCCTCCTGCTGGGACTCTGAGGAGCACAGGGACTGGCCTCCTGCTGGGACTCTGAGGAGCACAGGGACTGGCCTCCTGCTGGGACTCTGAGGAGCACAGGGACTGGACTCCTGCTGGGACTCTGAGGAGCACAGGGACTCCTGCTGGGACTCTGAGGAGCACAGGGACAGAGCAGATTATAATGAACATGATTCAAAGATCTTTAATAAACCCAGTTTCAGTCTCTGCTCTTTTTGTATCCACCGTGAACTAAACTAGGATCTCACACATGAAGAACGCCTGAGGGGGAGTTAGTGCTTCTCTGTGTGTGTGTGTGTGTCTCTGTGTGTGTGTGTGTGTGTGAGTGTGGGTGTGTGTCTCTGTGTGAGTGTGTGTGTGTCTCTGTGTGTGTGTGTGTGTGTGAGTGTGGGTGTGTGTCTCTGTGTGTGTGAGTATGAGTGTGTGTCTCTCTGTGTGTGTCTGTGTGTGTGTGTGTGTCTGTGTGTGTGTGTCTCTCTGTGTGTGTGCGTGTGGGTGTCTGTGTGTGTCTGTGTGTGTGTGTGAGTGTGAGTGAGTGTGTGTGTGTGTGTGTCTGTGTGTCTGTGTGTGTGTGTGTGTGTTTCTGTGTGTGTGTCTGTGTGTGTGTGTGTGTGGGTGTCTCTGTGTGCGTCTCTCTCTGTGTGTGTGTGTGAGTATGCGTGTGTGTGTGTGTGTCTGTGTGTGTGTGTGTGTGTCTGTGTGCGTCTCTCTGTGTGTGTGTGTGTGTGGGTGTCTCTCTGTGCGTCTCTCTGTGTGTGTGTGTGGCTGCTCTATGTGGCACCAGGAGACAGACAGTGGACCAGACCTGACATTAAACTTGTTTTTGTCATTTCATTTGAAGAAATTGGAAAGACAGTGCGTGTGTGAGTGTGTGTGTGTGTATATGTGTGTGTGTCTGTGTGTGTGTGTGTGTGAGTGTGTGTGTCTCTATGAGTGCGTGTGTGAGTTGCTTCCATCCTCCACCAGTGAAACTTCTCTCACTTTACTAGGTTTGATTTTGTTGTTACGCACAGAGTAATGTTGTTGTGTGTAAACATCAGAGTCAGGATTTTGCGTAGGACTGGGCAATATGTCTGAGAACTATGTCCCAATGTCAGTGATTCATATCGATATCGATAATTATTGATTTATTTTTTACACGTAAATAAATACATTTGTCGTGTGAGCAAACGCACGTTAGCAGCACTTGTTTTTACTGTTGTGTCCTTCTTTGTGTCCTTGGGCAAGACACTTAACCCCACTTTGCCTGAAGCCCCCACTGAAAGATCTCAGCTCCTGTGGACTCAGCACCTGCAGGAGGATCAGTGAGGGGCCGGTGCTCTGACTGCCCCCCCCCCCCCCCAGACCCAGACATGGATTAAGCGGAAGAAAATGGATGGATGGTTGTTTTTACAGTCACTGGGGAATGAGAACTCAGGCTGGAGGCATATGTTCACAAGCACTATGTCCCCCATTGTTAGTCCTAGTTTAGTCCTGCTTTAATCCTGGTTTAGTCCTGGTTTAATCCTGGTTTAGTCCTGGTTTAGTCCTGGTTTAGTCCTGCTTTAATCCTGGTTTATTCCTGGTTTAGTCCTGGTTTAGTCCTGCTTTAATCCTGCTTTAATCCTGGTTTAGTCCTGCTTTAGTCCTGGTTTAGTCCTGGTTTAGTCCTGGTTTAGTCCTGGTTTAGTCCTGCTTTAATCCTGGTTTAGTCCTGGTTTAGTCCTGGTTTAGTCCTGGTTTAGTCCTGCTTTAATCCTGGTTTAGTCCTGGTTTAGTCCTGGTTTAGTCCTGCTTTAATCCTGCTTTAATCCTGGTTTAGTCCTGCTTTAGTCCTGGTTTAGTCCTGGTTTAGTCCTGGTTTAGTCCTGGTTTAGTCCTGCTTTAGTCCTGGTTTAGTCCTGGTTTAGTCCTGGTTTAGTCCTGGTTTAGTCCTGGTTTAGTCCTGCTTTAATCCTGGTTTAGTCCTGGTTTAGTCCTGCTTTAATCCTGCTTTAATCCTGGTTTAGTCCTGCTTTAGTCCTGGTTTAGTCCTGGTTTAGTCCTGGTTTAGTCCTGGTTTAGTCCTGCTTTAATCCTGGTTTAGTCCTGGTTTAGTCCTGGTTTAGTCCTGCTTTAATCCTGGTTTAGTCCTGGTTTAGTCCTGCTTTAATCCTGGTTTAGTCCTGGTTTAGTCCTGCTTTAATCCTGGTTTAGTCCTGGTTTAGTCCTGTTTTAGTGGCTTGTGTCGCTTCTGCCTCGGCTTTACCTCTTGTTCTTTCTAACGGAGTGAAGTGAAACTATCAGATTCTGTAGATCCCATTTTCTATTGATATGGAACACGTGTCTATCACTATATATATCGTTATCGTTTTATCGCCCAGCCCTACTCTTTAGATTATTCATTCTCTTCATACACGGCAGTAAGTAAGTAATGTTTATTTATATCCCGCCTTTCACAGACCAGAGTCACAAAGCGGTTTATATTTGTGGGCATTAGTCTGTCACTCACAGAGATGGGAGGGGCCAGTACAGGAGGCACAGACCTATTGTACATGTTTTTAGTGGTAGGGGAAACCGGAGCACCCGGAGGAAACCTACGCAGACACGGGGAGAACATGCAAACTCCACTCAGAAAGGCCCTTTTCCGACCGGGATTCGAACCCAGGACCAATCCACTCAGCCACCATGCCGCCCAACTGGTGATAAACTACTACTGTAGCCAAAGCTGCCCTGGGGCACACTGACAGAAGCGAGGCAACCAGTCTGTGCCATCGGCCCCTCCCACATTCACACACACACACCAGACTCATTCTAATGTGGGGGAAGTGTCTTGCCCAAGGACACAGCGTCCCTTTGGCACCTTACAGCCCTGTTCTGGATGTGTTTGAGCAGCCACAGTGTGTTTGTCTCTTGGTGCAGTCGTGTTCAGCTGAGCCCACAGAAAAGTCCCGCCTCTGCTCTTCCTAATGAAGCTCCGGGTTTATGGCCCGGATAAATCTCCCCGAGTGAAGTTTTACAAAGAAGTGCTAATTGATGAAGTGGTCCATCTCCGTGAGGCTTTCTCCTGAGATGGTGCTTCTGCCTGAGACCTGCCACTCTGCTCTTTCTCTGGACCTCTGCGTTTATGTTTAGGAGCCTTCACTAATGTAATGTATTTGGATTGGATATTTGGATTACTTCTACTTCCTGGTGGATCATCAAAACTATTGGTCCTCCTAATTGTCAATCATTCTGGTGAATCTTTCCTAAAATGTGGAAAAACCTCCTCTTTACCTTTAATCCACCTGTTTTATTCATGTATTTATTCATTTGTGCATGTCCAAATATTACAGACTTCATTAATATTCTCTTCAGATTCATTTTATTTGCCATGTGCAGTATAAAAACCACGTTAGAATACATCTGCCAAAAAGGTACTCTGTGTGCACCAACAAGCTTTTGCAGGATAAATTATCGTCAATATTCTGTCCCTTGTTTTTCTGTTTGCAAAGACATTTTCATATTTTCACCCATTTATAAAAGAGTAGAAGTCAAACTCAGAGAAATGGATTATGCGTAATAACTGTGATTATGGAAGTCTAAGTTTTGTGCTACATGTTTCCGTTGTTGGCGTATGAGAAACGGTATAATGTGTCTTTGAACGTATTGTCACAGCTTTAAGGTCACGGCGCACACTTTTGTCCCACACAGCAGATGTGTTGTTGCGGTGCAGCAGAGGCAGTGGGTACAGAGGTGGGTACAGAGGTGGGTACAGAGGTGGGTACAGAGGTGGGTACAGTGGTGGGTACAGAGGTGGGTACAGAGGTGGGTACAGAGGTGGGTACAGAGGTGGGTACAGAGGTGGGTACAGAGGTGGGTACAGAGGTGGGTACAGTGGTGGGTACAGAGGTGGGTACAGAGGTGGGTACAGAGGTGGGTACAGCGGTGGGTACAGAGGTGGGTACAGAGGTGGGTACAGAGGTGGGTACAGCGGTGGGTACAGCGGTGGGTACAGAGGTGGGTACAGAGGTGGGTACAGAGGTGGGTACAGAGGTGGGTACAGAGGCAGTGGGTACAGAGGTGGGTACAGAGGTGGGTACAGAGGTGGGTACAGTGGTGGGTACAGAGGTGGGTACAGAGGTGGGTACAGAGGTGGGTACAGAGGTGGGTACAGAGGTGGGTACAGCGGTGGGTACAGAGGTGGGTACAGAGGTGGGTACAGAGGTGGGTACAGCGGTGGGTACAGCGGTGGGTACAGAGGTGGGTACAGAGGTGGGTACAGAGGTGGGTACAGAGGTGGGTACAGAGGCAGTGGGTACAGAGGTGGGTACAGAGGTGGGTACAGAGGTGGGTACAGAGGTGGGTACAGAGGTGGGTACAGCGGTGGGTACAGAGGTGGGTACAGAGGTGGGTACAGAGGTGGGTACAGCAGTGGGTACAGCAGTGGGTACAGAGGTGGGTACAGAGGTGGGTACAGAGGTGGGTACAGTGGTGGGTACAGAGGTGGGTACAGAGGTGGGTACAGAGGTGGGTACAGCGGTGGGTACAGAGGTGGGTACAGAGGTGGGTACAGAGGTGGGTACAGTGGTGGGTACAGAGGTGGGTACAGAGGTGGGTACAGTGGTGGGTACAGAGGTGGGTACAGAGGTGGGTACAGAGGCAGTGGGTACAGTGGTGGGTACAGAGGTGGGTGCAGAGGTGGGTACAGAGGTGGGTACAGAGGTGGGTACAGAGGTGGGTACAGAGGCAGTGGGTACAGAGGTGGGTACAGAGGTGGGTACAGAGGTGGGTACAGAGGTGGGTACAGCGGTGGGTACAGAGGTGGGTACAGAGGTGGGTACAGAGGTGGGTACAGAGGCAGTGGGTACAGAGGTGGGTACAGTGGTGGGTACAGAGGTGGGTACAGAGGTGGGTACAGTGGTGGGTACAGAGGTGGGTACAGAGGTGGGTACAGAGGTGGGTACAGTGGTGGGTACAGAGGTGGGTACAGAGGTGGGTACAGAGGTGGGTACAGAGGTGGGTACAGAGGTGGGTACAGTGGTGGGTACAGAGGTGGGTACAGAGGTGGGTACAGAGGTGGGTACAGAGGTGGGTACAGAGGTGGGTACAGCGGTGTGTTCAGAGGTGGGTACAGAGGTGGGTACAGAGGTGGGTACAGAGGTGGGTACAGAGGTGGGTACAGAGGTGGGTACAGCGGTGGGTACAGAGGTGGGTACAGAGGTGGGTACAGTGGTGGGTACAGAGGTGGGTACAGAGGTGGGTACAGAGGTGGGTACAGAGGTGGGTACAGTGGTGGGTACAGAGGTGGGTACAGAGGTGGGTACAGAGGTGGGTACAGTGGTGGGTACAGAGGTGGGGTACAGAGATAGGTACAGAGGTGGGTACAGAGGTGGGTACAGAGGTGGGTACAGTGGTGGGTACAGAGGTGGGTACAGAGGTGGGTACAGAGGTGGGTACAGAGGTTGGTACAGAGGTGGGTACAGAGGTGGGTACAGCAGTGGGTACAGAGGTGGGTACAGAGGTGGGTACAGTGGTGGGTACAGCGGTGGGTACAGAGGTGGGTACAGCGGTGGGTACAGAGGTGGGTACAGTGGTGGGTACAGAGGTGGGTACAGAGGTGGGTACAGAAGTGGGTACAGCGGTGGGTACAGAGGTGGGTACAGAGGTGGGTACAGAGGTGGGTACAGCGGTGGGTACAGAGGTGGGTACAGAGGTGGGTACAGAGGTGGGTACAGAGGCAGTGGGTACAGTGGTGGGTACAGAGGTGGGTACAGAGGTGGGTACAGAGGTGGGTACAGAGGTGGGTACAGCGGTGGGTACAGAGGTGGGTACAGAGGTGGGTACAGAGGTGGGTACAGAGGTGGGTACAAAGGTGGGTACAGTGGTGGGTACAGAGGTGGGTACAGAGGTGGGTACAGAGGTGGGTACAGTGGTGGGTACAGAGGTGGGTACAGTGGTGGGTACAATGGTGGGTACAGAGGTGGGTAAGCGGCGGGTACAGAGGTGGGTACAGTGGTGGGTACAGAGGTGGGTACAGAGGTGGGTACAGAGGTGGGTACAGTGGTGGGTACAGAGGTGGGTACAGAGATAGGTACAGAGGTGGGTACAGAGGTGGGTACAGAGGTGGGTACAGTGGTGGGTACAGTGGTGGGTACAGAGGTTGGTACAGAGGTGGGCACAGAGGTGGGTACAGAGGTGGGTACAGCAGTGGGTACAGAGGTGGGTACAGAGGTGGGTACAGTGGTGGGTACAGCGGTGGGTACAGAGGTGGGTACAGCGGTGGGTACAGAGGTGGGTACAGTGGTGGGTACAGAGGTGGGTACAGAGGTGGGTACAGAAGTGGGTACAGCGGTGGGTACAGAGGTGGGTACAGAGGTGGGTACAGAGGTGGGTACAGCGGTGGGTACAGAGGTGGGTACAGAGGTGGGTACAGAGGTGGGTACAGAGGCAGTGGGTACAGTGGTGGGTACAGAGGTGGGTACAGAGGTGGGTACAGAGGTGGGTACAGAGGTGGGTACAGCGGTGGGTACAGAGGTGGGTACAGAGGTGGGTACAGAGGTGGGTACAGAGGTGGGTACAAAGGTGGGTACAGTGGTGGGTACAGAGGTGGGTACAGAGGTGGGTACAGAGGTGGGTACAGTGGTGGGTACAGAGGTGGGTACAGTGGTGGGTACAGTGGTGGGTACAGAGGTGGGTAAGCGGCGGGTACAGAGGTGGGTACAGAGGCAGTGGGTACAGAGGCAGTGGGTACAGAGGTGGGTACAGAGGTGGGTACAGAGGTGGGTACAGAGGTGGGTACAGAGGTGGGTACAGAGGTGGGTACAGTGGTGGGTACAGTGGTGGGTACAGAGGTGGGTACAGAGGTGGGTACAGTGGTGGGTACAGAGGTGGGTACAGAGGTGGGTACAGAGGTGGGTACAGTGGTGGGTACAGAGGTGGGTACAGAGGTGGGTACAGTGGTGGGTACAGAGGTGGGTACAGTGGTGGGTACAGTGGTGGGTACAGAGGTGGGTAAGCGGCGGGTACAGAGGTGGGTACAGAGGCAGTGGGTACAGAGGCAGTGGGTACAGAGGCAGTGGGTACAGAGGTGGGTACAGAGGTGGGTACAGAGGTGGGTACAGAGGTGGGTACAGAGGTGGGTACAGTGGTGGGTACAGTGGTGGGTACAGAGGTGGGTACAGAGGTGGGTACAGTGGTGGGTACAGAGGTGGGTACAGAGGTGGGTACAGCGGCGGGTACAGCGGCGGGTGCAGCGGAAACCAAGAGATGAACAACCTCGCTCCAGACATGCGCGGCAACCAATCAGAGAGCAGCAAAGTGGTCACGGGGACACAAGCCGGTCCAGACAGACACTCGAAAACAACCAAAACAGGAGCTAGACCAGGATTAAACCAGGATTAAACCAGGACTGAGTTTGGGGACGTGGTGTTTGTGAACATGTCTTCATCTTGAGTTGACTGTGACTGTAAACAAGCGATTCTAAAGTGTGGCTGATATGGAAGTACTCCGCCCTGTGTTTTTCCCAGCGCAGCAGGACGTCAGATAGACTGAACTCATGCAGCTGATTCTTACTGAGTGCGTCCAGGCCTCCATCTACGCCCGTCCAGGCCTCCATCTACGCACGTCCAGGCCTCCATCTACGCCCGTCCAGGCATCGGCGTCTGAACACAGCCTAGATCTCAACTTCAGCCTAAACTCCTTTCGCTCAGGCAATTTTTAGAGCTAAAATTATTAAAGGAGAGAGCAGCGGGAGTTTTCAAAGTGCTCTTTTGTTCAGCCGTAACTGTGTTTGTTGAGGGTCATGAGGCGTCTCTAACTCATCTCTAGCTCATCTCTAACTCATCTCTAGCTCATCTCTAACTCATCTCTAGCTCATCTCTAACTCATCTATAACTCATCTCTAACTCATCTCTAACTTGCCGCTCCAACAATGGATTCTCTGTCACCAATTCTCTGTCGTGGTTTTGTTTGGACACACTGAGTATTGTCAATTTGGGTTTGTGGAAACACACAGGTGGAAACGTACTGACTTCTGCAGACTGTTGATTAACCGGCTCAGTTTAAACATCATTGCACAAAAGGTTCCATAAAATATCTGATGACAATTATTCACAGAAAAAAGGGAGAATAAAAGCAAATACAGGGATTAGGTGAAGCAAAAATCCAATCCCCCCTCAGCCGTTCACACACAACACAAAACAATATAACACAAGGATAGATACGCTGCAGCAGTGGTCGTTTTAGTTTAACGGCAGAAAATAATAGCATAGACTAAATATTAACAGACGTAGTCAAGCTATCTCCCTCGTTGAAACTAATGTTCCACCACTTTTGGCTTCTAAGGGCTTTTTTAAAATGGCCTCAGAGCAGGAAAATGTGTTTGCTGCCCCCAGTGGGGGCGGGTCCCGGCTCAAAAGTGGCGAAAACGACGCGTGCTGACATGCTGCAATACCACCCGGGCCTGTGGGGGTGGACCCGGAATGAGAATTAGCCAATGCTAACATATAGCATCTTCTTACCTCTGGAAAACGTCTTTACAGGATGGTCCAAAAGTCACTCTTGGCCCAAAGCTCCGTTCCACATGTGTGTCAATGCTGAGTGTTCTGGACCAGTCTAGTTTAGTCGCTGTGGACTTTAGAAGTCTCTCGTTTAAATGAATGGGGCTCGTGCAGCTGACGCATGCACAGATGCTTTTTTTCACATTTTCTAGCCCCGCGGCCATTTTTGGCCCATTAGTTAGAACGGCGGAGATAGGCGTGACTACGTCCGTTAATATATACAGTCTATGGCTGCACCAGCCCCATTGATTTAACAAGAGCATTCAAAAGTCCACAGCGACTAAACTAGACTGGTCCAAAAATAAACTCCCCTCAACATCGAGAGAATCTGGAACGTAGCTTTGGACCAAGAGCCACTTTTGGACCATCCTGTAAAGACGTTTTTGAGAGGAAAGAAGACGCCATAACAAAAAAATGGTAATTCTCTTTCCCGCCCCCACTGAATTATAGCGCTCAAATCCTCCATAAAACAATTGTCAGAGTACGTTCGTCAACAGATTTTGAATGTTCTGTTTTCTTTCCGTGGAGGTGAAGCAGGTTTGTTTGTTGTGTGTGTGTGTGTGCGCGTATGTGTGTTGTGTGTGTGTGTGTGTGTGCGTATGTGTGATGTGCGTGTGTATGTGTGTGTGTGTGTGTGTGTGTGTGCGTATGTGTGATGTGCGTGTGTATGTGTGTGTGTGTGTGATGTGCGTGTGTATGTGTGTGTGTGTGTGTATGTGTGTGTGTGTGTGCGTGTGTGTAATGTCCCTCAGCTCACAAAGGTTGGGGACCACTGCTCTAAACATATACAGTCAGCGTCTTTGGTCTTTGCGTGGCCAGGTTGGGTCCTGGACTGGGGCCAGGCTCGGACTGGGCCAGGCTCGGACTGGGCCAGGCTCGGACAGGGGCCAGGCTCGGACTGGGGCCAGACTCGGACTGGGGCCAGACTCGGACTGGGGCCAGGCTCGGACTGGGCCAGGCTCGGACTGGGCCAGGCTCGGACAGGGGCCAGGCTCGGACTGGGGCCAGACTCGGACTGGGGCCAGACTCGGACTGGGGCCAGGCTCGGACTGGGGCCAGACTCGGACTGGGGCCAGACTCGGACTGGGGCCAGGCTCGGACTGGGGCCAGACTCGGACAGGGCAACAGTAATGATAGCCTCTCCCACAACAGCAGGTTCAGCAGGAGACGCCTGCAGCTCACGGTCTATTATTCATCAGGACCCGAGAGCTGCTCTTTGATTCAGACTTCACTTGTTTACCACGGACTCTGAGGCAACCGCAGGAGGATGGTTTATGAGGGAGGAGAGAGGAGAGGGAGAGGGAGGAGAGGGAGAGGGAGGAGAGAGGAGAGGGAGAGGGAGGAGAGAGAGAGGAGAGGGAGAGGGAGGAGAGAGAGAGAGGAGAGAGGAGAGGGAGAGGGAGGAGAGAGGAGAGGGAGAGGGAGAGGGAGGAGGGAGAGAGGGAGGAGGGAGAGAGAGAGGGGGGAGAGGGAGGAGAGAGAGAGGAGAGGGAGAGGGAGGAGAGAGGAGAGAGGAGAGGGAGAGGGAGGAGAGAGGAGAGGGAGAGGGAGAGGGAGGAGAGGGAGAGGGAGGAGAGAGGAGAGGGAGAGGGAGGAGAGAGAGAGGAGAGGGAGAGGGAGGAGAGAGGAGAGAGGAGAGGGAGAGGGAGGAGAGAGGAGAGGGAGAGGGAGAGGGAGAGAGGGAGAGGGAGGAGAGGAGGAGAGGGAGAGGGAGAGAGAGAGAGAGAGGGAGAGGGAGGAGAGAGGAGAGAGGAGAGGGAGGAGAGAGGAGAGGGAGAGGGAGAGGGAGGAGAGGGAGAGGGAGGAGAGAGGAGAGGGAGAGGAGGAGGAGAGAAAGAGGAGAGGGAGAGGGAGGAGAGAGGAGAGAGGAGAGAGGGAGGAGAGAGGAGAGAGGAGAGGGAGGAGAGAGAGAGGAGAGGAGAGGGAGGAGAGAGGAGAGGGAGAGAGGAGAGGGAGGAGAGGGAGAGGGAGAGGAGAGAGGAGAGGGAGGAGAGAGGAGAGGAGAGAGGAGGAGAGAGAGAGGAGAGGGAGAGGGAGGAGAGAGGAGAGGGAGAGGGAGGAGAGAGAGAGGAGAGAGGGAGAGGGAGGAGAGAGGAGAGGGAGAGGGAGGAGAGAGGAGAGGGAGGAGAGAGAGAGAGAGAGAGGGAGAGGGAGGAGAGAGGAGAGGGAGAGAGGAGAGGGAGGAGAGAGGAGAGGGAGAGGGAGGAGAGAGGAGAGGGAGAGGGAGGAGAGAGAGAGGAGAGGGAGAGGGAGGAGAGAGGAGAGGGAGGAGAGAGGAGAGGGAGAGGGAGGAGAGAGAGAGGAGAGGGAGAGGGGAGGAGAGAGGAGAGGGAGAGAGGGAGAGGGAGGGAGGAGAGAGGAGGGAGGACAGAGGAGAGGGAGAGGGAGGAGAGAGAGAGGAGAGGGAGAGGGAGGAGAGAGGAGAGGGAGAGAGGAGAGGGAGGGGAGAGGAGAGAGGAGAGGGAGAGGGAGGAGAGAGGAGAGGGAGGAGAGAGGAGAGGGAGAGGGAGGAGAGAGGAGAGGGAGAGGGAGAGAGGAGAGGGAGGAGAGAGAGAGACAAGAGAGGGAGGAGAGAGAGAGAGGGAGGAGAGAGGAGAGGGAGGAGAGAGAGAGACAGGAGAGGGAGGAGAGAGGAGAGGGAGGAGAGAGGGAGAGGGAGGAGAGAGAGAGAGGGAGGAGAGAGGGAGAGGGATGAGAGAGAGAGGAGAGGGAGGAGAGAGAGAGACAGGAGAGGGAGGAGAGAGAGAAACAGGAGAGGGAGGAGAGAGGGAGAGGGAGGAGAGAGAGAGAGAGAGAGAGAGAGAGAGAGGAGAGAGAGAGGGAGAGGGATGAGAGAGAGAGGAGAGGGAGGAGAGAGGAGAGGGAGAGGGAGGAGAGAGAGAGACAGGAGAGGGAGAGGGATGAGAGAGAGAGACAGGAGAGGGAGGAGAGAGGAGAGGGAGGAGAGAGGAGAGGGAGGAGAGAGAGAGACAGGAGAGGGAGGAGAGAGGAGAGGGAGGAGAGAGGAGAGGGGAGGAGAGAGAGAGACAGAAGAGGGAGAGGGAGGAGAGAGAGAGAGAGACAGGAGAGGGAGAGGGAGGAGAGAGAGAGACAGGAGAGGGAGGAGAGAGAGAGACAGGAGAGGGAGGAGAGAGAGAGACAGAAGAGGGAGAGGGAGGAGAGAGAGAGACAGGAGAGGGAGAGGGAGGAGAGGGAGAGGGAGGAGAGAGGAGAGGGAGAGGGAGGAGAGAGAGAGGAGAGGGAGAGGGAGGAGAGAGGAGAGAGGAGAGGGAGAGGGAGGAGAGAGGAGAGGGAGAGGGAGGAGAGAGAGAGGAGAGGGAGGAGAGAGGAGAGGGAGGAGAGAGGAGAGGGAGAGAGGAGAGGGAGGAGAGAGGAGAGGGAGAGGGAGGAGGAGAGAGAGAGAGAGGGAGAGGGAGGAGAGAGGAGAGGGAGAGAGGAGAGGGAGGACAGAGGAGAGGGAGAGGGAGGAGAGAGAGAGGAGAGGGAGAGGGAGGAGAGAGGAGAGGGAGAGAGGAGAGGGGAGGGGAGAGGAGAGAGGAGAGGGAGGAGAGAGGAGAGAGGAGAGGGAGGAGAGTGGAGAGGGAGAGGAAGGAGAGAGGAGAGGGAGAGGGAGAGAGGAGAGGGAGGAGAGAGAGAGACAAGAGAGGGAGGAGAGAGAGAGAGGGAGGAGAGAGAGAGAGGGAGGAGAGAGAGAGACAGGAGAGGGAGGAGAGAGGAGGAGGGAGGAGGAGAGGGAGAGGGAGGAGAGAGAGAGAGGGAGGAGAGAGGGAGAGGGATGAGAGAGAGAGGAGAGGGAGGAGAGAGAGAGACAGGAGAGGGAGGAGAGAGGGAGAGGGAGGAGAGAGAGAGACAGGAGAGGGAGGAGAGAGGAGAGGGAGAGGGATGAGAGAGAGAGGAGAGGGGAGGAGAGAGGAGAGGGAGAGGGAGGAGAGAGAGAGACAGGAGAGGGAGGAGAGAGAGAGACAGAAGAGGGAGAGGGAGGAGAGAGAGAGACAGGAGAAGGAGAGGGAGGAGAGAGAGAGACAGGAGAGGGAGAGGGAGGAGAGAGGAGAGGGAGAGGGATGAGAGAGGAGAGGGAGGAGAGAGGAGAGGGAGGAGAGAGAGAGACAGGAGAGGGAGGAGAGAGGAGAGGGAGGAGAGAGGAGAGGGAGGAGAGAGAGAGACAGAAGAGGGAGAGGGAGGAGAGAGAGAGACAGGAGAGGGAGAGGGAGGAGAGAGAGAGACAGAAGAGGGAGAGGGAGGAGAGAGAGAGACAGGAGAGGGAGGAGAGAGAGAGACAGAAGAGGGAGAGGGAGGAGAGAGAGAGACAGGAGAGGGAGAGGGAGGAGAGAGAGAGACAGGAGAGGGAGAGGGAGGAGAGAGGAGAGGGAGGAGAGAGAGAGAGGGAGGAGAGAGGAGAGGGAGGAGAGAGAGAGAGAGAGGGAGGAGAGAGAGAGACAGGAGAGGGAGGAGAGAGGGAGAGGAAAGAGCATTGGTCGAAAGGTTGTGGGTTCGATCCCCGCAGGAGAGAGACTCCTCACACTGATGTGTGGAGTCTGGGGCATCGCAGCAGCGTCTTTTTGAGAAAGGTGAAAAGAAACTGAATGTGGCCGACACTTTTGTTTCAAAGGTCTGTCCTAGTGGTTTTACTCAGAAGAGTTTCCTCTGAGTCAGAGGAGCTCAGTCACACTCGAAGAACTTGGAGTAGAGCCACTGCTCCTCATGGAGAGGAGCCAGTTGAGGCACAGGCATCTGTTTGGGAGACCTCCTGACGCCTCTCTGGGAGCTGTTCTGGGGAAGACCCAGACACCGAGGGACTGTCTCTCAGCGACCTGAGACCGAGTGGGTCTCAGCGTCTGAGACCGAGTGGGTCTCAGAGTCTGAGACCGAGTGGGTCTCAGCGTCTGAGACCGAGTGGGTCTCAGAGTCTGAGTGGGTTCATGTGGCACTGGCATCGGTTCTTATCGTGTATCGGAAAATACGCTGCAAAAAGTGATGAAAAATGCTTACATTTGGCAAATTTTGTCTTAATTTAAGCACATTCTGACTTAAAACAAGACCTGCCGTTGGGACAAAGCAAAATAATCTTGTTTTTAAAATATAGAGAAATGTCTCTCTTGAAATGAGAAAAAAGCAACAGTTCTTGAAATAAGACTAAATTCTGGTTTTAACACAGAATGAGCTCAAAACCACTGAGGCAGGTCTCCCATCACAGAGGCAGGTCTCCCATCACAGAGGCAGGTCTCCCATCACAGAGGCAGGTCTCCCATCACAGAGGCAGGTCTCCCATCACAGAGGCAGGTCTCCCATCACTGAGGCAGGTCTCCCATCACAGAGGCAGGTCTCCCATCACAGAGGCAGGTCGCCCATCACTGAGGCAGGTCTCCCATCACAGAGGCAGGTCTCCCATCACAGAGGCAGGTCTCCCATCACAGAGGCAGGTCTCCCATCACTGAGGCAGGTCTACCATCACAGAGGCAGGTCTCCCATCACAGAGGCAGGTCTCCCATCACAGAGGCAGGTCCCCCATCACAGAGGCAGGTGTCCCATCACAGAGGCAGGTCTCCCATCACAGCAGCAGAGTCAGCCTCAGTTCTGCTTCGCTGCTGCAGGATGCGGATGTGAAGCGGATGTGGAGTTGGCGAAAGCTGATCAATAATAGAACCTAAACTGCCATTAGAATAAAATTAATCCCCTGTTCTCTCAGAGACCCCCCTCAGTCTGTGATGGCGTTTCAGAGACAGAGGCCGTAAAGGGGAGATGAGGATTCCCGGTAATGGCCCCTGTGTGAATAATTTAGACTTAGAGCAGGAGTGCGAGGAAAACTGGAGTGCTGAGGAAGTGATCGAGAACAAAAGAGCTGGGGCCGTAACAAATAAGTTAAGTTATATGTTATTTCTCCAGTGGGGAGATGTGTCCTCTACATTTGATCCATTTATTACCGCCCGGGGCCTCTTTCCGGAGCAGTGGTCGCCATAGTAACGAGAGCCCATCTGCAGACTCAGCCGCCGAGCCCTGTATGATGCGTGAGAACATCTAGTGTGGCATTACTTAAATTGTGGGTGTCAAAGTCAAGGTCCGGGGGCAAGATCCGGCCCGTGAATGAATGATCTTGGGCCCCGGGATGATATTTGATTATTATTAGAACCACCCGTACAGAGACATAAGAAAATATTGGATTATTAATTTCATGTGTTTTTTCTTGGAAGGAAGTTTGTTTTTGTCTGTGAGCTGTTATTGACAAATGTTTTAACTTGTTACTGACAAAGCCATACAGAAATATTGGATTATTCATTTAATCATTAAATAAAATACGGTCCACTGTGTCAGGTCTTGGCTCAACAGGTTTTATGCGTCATTTTAATAAGTTTTAATAACCATTGAACCAGTCCAGACCTCGGCTTGAAGCAAATTAGTTTTTTTGGCCTCTGATGTATTTGGCTTTGACATTTGGATGATGTTTCTGTAGCCGGTTAGCCGCTAACAAGGTGATTCTGTTTTTTGTTTTTTCTCCCGGCAAAAATTGAAGAGCAGAGTCAACTCAATTCAAGGTATTTTTGTATCGCACTAAATCACAACAGGAGTAATCTGTGAGGACTTTACGAAGCTGACGATTCGCCTACACAGATCAGAAAATCAAAGAGTTCAAACACAGAAATGCTACGATAAAAAAACACATAGAGCCATTGGTTCATAAGGAGAAGAGACCAATGTCCATAATGTTGATAAAGTCCAGGTCAGTGTCTCTAAAATCACAGACAGAGAACTTGGATTAGACACTAGTGTGAAAGCTGCGGTGTGTGTTTGTGGCTAAAGTGTCTGATTTCAGCGTGGATAGATCTAAAAACAACTCCTGGTCGGTGTCGGAGGAGGATCAATGTTGGGACAAACCACCGCCTCCTTCGTCCACACCACAGTTTTTTCCTCATTAACAAAACCTAAACCACACTTTTGAAATAACGACGGTGCATTTGACGGGTCTTCGGTCCGAGTCTGTGGAACGAACCCAGAGTCGAACGTCTGCTGTGTTTTCAGAGCCACAAATGACTTTTAAAACAGCCGGCGCCACAGCGGGGGAAAGGCCCGGAGACGGAGATGGGGATTTCTCGGTGGATAATGGCGTCTTCAGTGCCATAACTGAATCATCGCCGACGAACCGAAGACCTGATTATTTATTATCGTCGCTGCTATTGTTTTGTTTATTCTAAATCCATTTTCCCTCGGTGCAGTTAACAATAATACACATTAGCTTTCTTTCTACAATAGTCTGATGGCAGATTACTGACCATGTTTTAAGTTCATTGTTTTCAGCCAAATTTAAATACAATGTTATTTATTTATGGATTTTACTTTTTTTAAATTATTACTTTATTTTCTCATTTTCTAAGTAATCATTATTTATATACCGCCTTTCACAGACCAGAGTCAAAGCGGTTTATATTTGTGGGCATTAGTCTGTCTCTCCACACAGAGATGGGAGGGGCCAGTACAGGAGGCACAGACCTACTGTATATGTTTTAGTGGTAGGGGAAACCGGAGCACCCGGAGGAAACCTACGCAGACACGAGGAGAGCATGCAAACTCCACTCAGAAAGGCCCTGTTCTGACCGGGATTTGAACCCAGGACCTTCTTGCTGAGTGCTAATCACTCATCAGAAACTGCTGGCCATATGGGAGAACCTGTTCTGAAATGGGCTGCCAATGATTTAAAGTGTGTGTCATGTGTGTTATGTAAATGCTGAAAAATACATTCATTAATTCCTGTTTAAATAACTCAGATCCAAGTCTCTCTTCACGTGTTCGTATGTATGTTCCGACCTGTCACTTTAAACCCGCGTGTTGTAACGTGGTCAAACAAACGTCTCCTTTAACAGCCGCAGTCGGAGCCCAGAGGGTGTTGGCTGCAGATAAGTTATCGCTGAGTGTGAGATTCCAGACGTTTCCTCACGACACGTCCACAAACACGTGTCACACATGACGCAGTGGGACCTTTGGTTTCACTGTCAACGTGTCTCATGTTTTTGATTTTAGAAATGAGTGGGTTCATAATTATTGAATGAAAGTATGTGATGAAGTCTCAGTGGTCTTTAAGTCTTTACACTCACCTCCTGAAACACATGGCCTCAGACTCTCTCAGACTCTCTCAGACTCTCTCAGACTCTCTCAGACTCTCTCAGACTCTCTCAGACTCTCTCAGACCCTCTCAGACTCTCTCAGACCCTCTCAGACTCTCTCAGACCCTCTCAGACTCTCTCAGACTCTCTCAGACTCTCTCAGACTCTCTCAGACTCTCTCAGACACTCTCAGACTCTCTCAGACTCTCTCAGACCCTCTCAGACTCTCTCAGACTCTCTCAGACTCTCTCAGACTCTCTCAGACCTCTCTCAGACCTCTCAGACTCTCTCAGACTCGCTCAAACTCTCTCAGACTCTCTCAGACCCTCTCAGACTCTCTCAGACTCTCTCAGACTCTCTCAGACTCTCTCAGACCCTCTCAGACTCTCTCAGACTCTCTCAGACTCTCTCAGACCCTCTCAGACTCTCTCAGACTCTCTCAGACCCTCTCAGACTCTCTCAGACTCGCTCAGACTCTCTCAGACTCTCTCAGACCCTCTCAGACCTCTCTCAGACTCTCTCAGACCCTCTCAGACTCTCTCAGACCCTCTCAGACCTCTCAGACTCTCTCAAACTCTCTCAGACTCTCTCAAACTCTCTCAGACCCTCTCAGACTCTCTCAGACTCTCTCAGACCCTCTCAGACTCTCTCAAACTCTCTCAGACTCTCTCAGACCTCTCTCAGACCTCTCTCAGACCTCTCTCAGACCTCTCTCAGACCTCTCAGACCTCTCTCTAGACCTCTCTTAGACCTCTCTCAGACCTCTCTCAGACCTCTCTCAGACCTCTCTCAGACCTCTCTCAGACCTCTCAGACCTCTCTCAGACCTCTCTCAGACCTCTCTCAGACCTCTCTCAGACCTCTCAGACCTCTCTCAGACCTCTCTCAGACCTCTCTCAGACCTCTCTTAGACCTCTTAGACCTCTCTCAGACCTCTCTCAGACCTCTCTCAGACCTCTCAGACCTCTCTCAGACCTCTCTCAGACCTCTCTCAGACCTCTCTCAGACCTCTCTCAGACCTCTCAGACCTCTCAGACCTCTCTCAGACCTCTCTCAGACCTCTCTCAGACCTCTCTTAGACCTCTCTTAGACCTCTCTCAGACCTCTCTCAGACTCTCTCAGACCTCTCTCAGACTCTCTCAGACCCTCTCAGACTCTCTCAGACACTCTCAGACTCTCTCAGACTCTCTCAGACTCTCTCAGACCCTCTCAGACTCTCTCAGACCCTCTCAGACCTCTCAGACTCTCTCAGACCTCTCTCAGACTCTCTCAGACTCTCTCAGACCCTCTCAGACTCTCTCAAACTCTCTCAGACCCTCTCAGACCCTCTCAGACTCTCTCAAACTCTCTCAGACTCTCTCAAACTCTCTCAGACTCTCTCAAACTCTCTCAGACTCTCTCAGACTCTCTCAGACTCTCTCAGACCCTCTCAGACTCTCTCAGACTCTCTCAAACTCTCTCAGACTCTCTCAGACCCTCTCAGACTCTCTCAAACTCTCTCAGACTCTCTCAAACTCTCTCAGACTCGCTCAAACTCTCTCAGACTCTCTCAGACCCTCTCAGACTCTCTCAGACTCGCTCAAACTCTCTCAGACTCTCTCAGACCCTCTCAGACTCTCTCAGACTCTCTCAGACTCTCTCAGACTCTCTCAGACCCTCTCAGACTCTCTCAGACTCGCTCAAACTCTCTCAGACTCTCTCAGACCCTCTCAGACTCTCTCAGACCCAGACCGTGCAGCCTCAGTATGCAGAGAGGCAGAGACGCAGAGGTGAGACTTTGTAGTGCGGAGATGCTAACAGAACGCTCTCAGGTGCGTGTGAAAGTGAGATGCTATCTGGGAAATTGGCTTCCAGAGAAATCCTGTCACACTCTCCACGACTAATGCGGCCGCGAGATTCCAGCTTTATTTTCAGAATCTGATCGATGTCGTGTTGAAACGAGACGTGCTGCGCTGTCTCTGGTCGTTAGGACAAAGTGGAGCTTCATGGAGGAACTGTGGTTATCAGCGTTCTGTTTCAAAGAGCAGATGGGACCGGTTTCACCAACGCACAGGGGTGTTCTTTGATGTGGAAATTGCTCGACAACAGGACGTCTAAAGAGTTTATTAAAAAAACAAAAGTGTTCAAACATGTGGGAATCAACACAGTCCTGTAACAGATTGTTTTGTGAAGGAGGAGTCTGCAGTATGGGAGGAGCTAAAAACAACCAATTAGATACTTCTTCTTTGTCTTCCATTGGAGACCTTTGGGTTCCATCAGAGACCTCCAGGACCAGAGAAAACCAGAGTTGATAACAGGACACTTGTCCTAAGCCTAAAGTGCTGTCTTTATTGCACTTGCCCAAAGCAGAGATGATTAACATGATTTAAAGTATTACTATACGGCTGTGGAGCTCTTTGTGTGAAATGGGTCACACAAAGATAAAGATTCTTTACTTAAAGGGGCAGTACATACAGTAATATTATAATATTTAAATGAGGTCTACATCTATTACTGTATATATGGAAGGTCACATGTTCACACATGTGACTATAATGTTTATGTATTATAATATTCATATTTATATTTACACTTTTCAAGCAGATTATCCAGAGAGCAGAAGGAGGCTCTCTTTTGTTGTGTGAAATGTTGTGACGTCTGTGGTCCCAGAGGTCTGTGGTCTCAGAGGTCTGTGGTCCCAGAGGTCTGTGGTCCCAGAGGTCTGTGGTCCCAGAGGTCTGTGGTCTCAGAGATCTGTGGTCCCAGAGGTCTGTGGTCCCAGAGGTCTGTGGTCCCAGAGGTCTGTGGTCTCAGAGATCTGTGGTCCCAGAGGTCTGTGGTCCCAGAGGTCTGTGGTCCCAGAGGTCTGTGGTCTCAGAGATCTGTGGTCTCAGAGGTCTGTGGTCCCAGAGGTCTGTGGTCCCAGAGGTCTGTGGTCCCAGAGGTCTGTGGTCTCAGAGGTCTGTGGTCCCAGAGGTCTGTGGTCCCAGAGATCTGTGGTCCCAGAGGTCTGTGGTCTCAGAGGTCTGTGGTCCCAGAGGTCTGTGGTCTCAGAGGTCTGTGGTCTCAGAGGTCTGTGGTCTCAGAGATCTGTGGTCCCAGAGGTCTGTGGTCCCAGAGGTCTGTGGTCTCAGAGGTCTGTGGTCTCAGAGATCTGTGGTCCCAGAGGTCTGTGGTCTCAGAGGTCTGTGGTCTCAGATGTCTGTGGTCTCAGAGGTCTGTGGTCTCAGAGATCTGTGGTCCCAGAGATCTGTGGTCCCAGAGGTCTGTGGTCCCAGAGGTCTGTGGTCCCAGAGGTCTGTGGTCCCAGAGGTCTGTGGTCCCAGAGGTCTGTGGTCGGTCCTTGGACTGGAACCTTCAGTTCAAAAGTATTTTATATTTTAGCCCAAACTTTTTAGTGAGTAATTCCTCAGACTGGTCCAGGGGCCAATGTCCCGTTTTTATTGGTGAAACTACAGACACAAAACAGGTGCAGACAAACCCACACAACAGCACAGACACAAAGGTACATGAGCAGCTAGCATGTTTGAGTGTATCTTTAAATCATAGTGCATTTCACATTTTCAGTCTTCCTGAAAATGTGAGACAGGATTCTCTGATAAAGCTCAAATCTAGGTTAAAACAGTTCTTTTCATCTGTGCTACAGCTGAGGGATGGAATCTTTACACGTTCTGTGATTGTTTGTAAATGCCTTGTGTGACTGTTTCTAGTTTGATTGTCTTGTGTACGAACTGTGCTATACAAATAAACAGTGGATCTCAGGAGACATTTACAGTTTGTTCAGAAACGTAACGAGTGGATTGTTTTGCAGATATCGGAGGGCGACTCTGACCACCGCCCCGTCCACACGACCAAAGCCCAGAGCAGCTTCGTCCATGAGCACTTCCAGGCTCAGTACAAGTGAGTCTCCCTCTGCAGCACACACCTGAAGAGTCAACACAGAATGCTAATAATAATAGGGCGGCACGGTGGCTGAGTGGATAGCACTCTCGCCTCTCAGCAAGAAGGTCCTGGGTTCGAATCCCGGTCGGACCAGGGCCTTTCTGAGTGGAGTTTGCATGTTCTCCCTGTGTCTGCGTAGGTTTCCTCCGGGTACTCCGGTTTCCCCTACCACTAAAAATATGTCCAATAGTTCTGGCATGCGCCTCCTGTACTGGCGACCCCGCTCCCATCTCTGTGTGGAGTGAGAGACAAATGCCCAAAATTAACAATTGTAAACCGCTTTGAGACTCAGATCTGCAGTGAAAAAGGCGGTATATAAATAAAGATTATTATTATTATTATATATATTAATACCTCGCTCCAGGACTGAGGCTGTAGACCCAGGACTGAAGCTGTAGACCCAGGACTGAGGCTGTAGACCCAGGACTGAACCTGTAGACCCAGGACTGAGGCTGTAGACCCAGGACTGAGACTGTAGTAAGTAAGTAAGTAATCTTTATTTGTATAGCACCTTTCACAGACAAAGGCCACAAAGTGCTTCACAACACAGTAAAACATCACAAAATTAAAAACAATATAAAAAGGGTCAAAACAACACAGAAATCATATCAGCCCAAAAAAATAGCTAATTAAAGGCTTGAACAAATAAATGAGTCTTAAGATTGCTTTTAAAAGTATCAACAGAGTCAGTAGAGCGCAAAGAGGGCGGAAGATCGTTCCAAAGCCTGGAAGGATCGGTCACCTCTTGTACGAAAACAAGTGCGTGGAACCTTTAGCAGATTTTGATCCACAGACCTCAGAGCCCGAGCCGGGGTGTGAGGCTGGATCAGAAAACTGAGGTAAGAAGGAGCTTGACCACGCAAGGCTCTGAAAGCTAGAACCAAAATTTTAAACTTGATCCTACAGTATAGGACACTGGCAGCCAATGAAGTTGTTTTAAAATAGGAGTTATGTGGGTCCTCCCGTTAGTGCGGGTCAGAATTCTCGCTGCAGAGTTTTGCACTAGTTGCAGTCGAGAGAGCTCCTTCTTATTAAGACATGAAAACAAACTATTACAATAGTCTAAACGTGAAGACACAAATGCATGAATGATAAGCTCCAAGTCATTACGTGCGACCATATTCCTAAATTTAGAAATGTTTCTTAGTTGAAAGAAGCAGTTCCTTGTTAGCTGCTTACAGTGCTGGACTAATGACATGTCTTTGTCAAAGATAACGCCCAAGTTTCGAAGACTTGGCTTCGCTGACTGGCCTAAGTCACCCAGGTACTGTTTAATCCCCGGAATTGCATCATCAGGTGCGATAACCAGTGTTTCGGTTTTGTCTGCATTTAGCTGCAGAGAGTTATCGCTGAGCCATTGTTTTATTTCCACTAGACAATGGAGCAGAGAGTCTAGCTTCTGGATTTCAGACGGCTTAAAAGAACAGTAAAGCTGGATATCGTCAGCAAATAGGTGGAAAGAAACATCACTGAACCTTTGGATGATCTTTCCCAAAGGAATCAAATACAACAAAAATAAGACAGGACCCAAAACGGACCCTTGAGGCACTCCACACAACAAACCCACAGACTCAGACCTAATTTGGTTAGCTGTAACACTGAAGCTACGCCCCGATAAGTATGAGGAGAACCACTGTAGAACTGCCCCCGACAGTCCACTTTCAGTAAGGCCAAGGCTCAAGGATCTTGGACAGGAACGGGAGTTTTGAAATAGGCCTAAAACTATTAAGATCGGTCGGGTCTAACCCTGCTCTTTTTAGTAGTGGCTCCACTATGGCATGTTTAAAGGCACTGGGAAACACGCCAGTTGACAGAGAGACATTAACCATTTTGGTAACACAAGGGCCAATTACCTCGAACACTTTTTGAAAGAGCCTGCAAGGAAGGATGTCAGATGAACAAGAGGAGGGCTTCATCTTGGACACCAGTGCTGAAATATCAGCAAATGTCACCGTTTTAAATGAAGACCACATGCTGGACACAGGCTCAAACACAGCAGGGGTACCACACAGAAGGGGCGAGATTTTATCCTTGATCATCTTAATTTTGTTTGTGAAAAATCTCGAAAAGGCTTTGCTGTCAGCTTCACAAAAGACAGGATGGATGGATGGATGGATGTTACCAGTTGACGGATATATTCAGATCTGGAATTTTCAATCATCACGTTGTATGATGACACAAGATCCCTGAGATAGAGCCTGTGCACCTCAAGTTTAGTGGATTTCCACAGGCGTTCAGTCTTTCGACACAGCCTCCTGAGTCTTAAGATATCTTCATTTGTCCAAGGACACGCTTTTTTCTGTGACAAGTTTGATTTAACAGGAGCCAACTGATCCAAAATTGTTTCACAATGGTTATTAAAACAGTGAATGAGATTGTCCACATCGAAACAGTCCATGACTAAAAGAGGGTCAAACATTTCTGAAAAACTATCTGCGGTATTAGCAGAGATGACACGCCTCTGAGACCTGACTGCTGAAGGCTTGGGCTCAGGACTAAAGTGCAGATCAAACATAACAAGACTATGATCACTCATATGGACATCAATCACAGACATGTTTAAAATGTCTATGCCAAGCGTAAAAACTAGGTCTAAAATATGGCCTTTTTGGTGAGTGGGCTCAGAAACATGCTGCTCAAAATTAAAAGTTTCAGTCAATGTAAGCAGTTCCATTGCGGGGCAAGATGAGCAGTCATCAACATGAAGGTTAAAATCCCCAAGGATTAAAACAGATTCCAACTTTATTATAGAGGATAAAAAGTCACTAAAATCCTTTAAAAAGGCAGCAGCGGGGCCAGGAGGACGGTAGATCAACACACAGTAAAATGGGGATGAAAAGCCCACCTTGACCAGCTGGGATTCAAAAGATGAGAATTCTTGGGACTGGGTCACTTTGCATTTGTGGACATCCCTGTGCACAAATGCCAGGCCACCACCACGGCGACAGGGGCGGGGTTTCCCGACAGCAGAGCAGCCAGCTGGGCAGAGATCATTTAAATGAATGAACTCTTCCTCTCTCTGCCAAGTCTCCGAAAGACACATGATATCCAAGCTTTCTCTAACGAAAAGATTGTTCAATGAATGAGATTTATTCGCAATTGAGCGAGCATTCAACAGGCCAACGCAGATTGTAGATGACGTCACGAAGGCAGTGTCCGTGTTGAGCAGCGGGATTGGTCGAAGGCACGTCCAGCGGTCACGTGGACTCCAGCTGGTCCATGCTGGAAGAGCAGGCACAAACACGGAAGTAAACGATGGCGATGAAAGCTCCTGACCACAACTCCAGCGCTGTGATGGGTCCAGGACACTCGTTGTAGTCCGAGCAGGCGTCGGCGTGGACACCTGCTCGGACTACAACGGACTACACTACAGAGGAATCTGGCGCAAGCACCGAGCGCGATCCCTGCGGCCGAAGACAGCGGAGCCAAAGCGCGATGCGGCACGCCTTCGCTTAACCTGGACACCGGACCAAGAGCCTCTTTTCTTGGATCTCCTGCGGACCCTGCGCGGCGCCCGACACAACAAGTAATCAGGTGAGCCGGGATCGATGATGAAAGGAGGAGGAAACGCCTGTTTGTAGCTGTCCCATGTATCAAACAGGCCCTCCATTGACTGCTTTATACGAAACAAAGAGTCCCGATCATAAGTCCGTATAGCCACACATCCTTTTGTTATTTGGGCTGATATGATCGCATAGGTTGACAAAATGACCATTAGCAATCTACACAGTAGGAGACGAGCCGTGGCATCGCCAGTCACAGGCACCATCTTGTCTCCAAGTAGATCCAGGACTGAGGCTGTAGACCCAGGTCTAAGCTGGCGATTCACCGACACAGATCAGAGAATCAAACAATGATGAAAAGCACATTGAGCCATTGGTCCATAATGTTCACAGATAGATATCGCTGAATCTCCTGGATCACTGCTGTGCTTAGACCCAGTTTGAATCCAGTGTAGAAACTGTGTCTGCAACATCTATGCTGGACCATGACTGTCGCCCCCTGCAGGACACTCTCTCTGCTCTGGAGAGTAGCTTCAGTGACAGATTGATTCACCCTCGCTGTGTGAAGGAGAGGTTCCGCAGAGGTTCCTTCCTGCTGCTGTCAGACTGTACAATGAGAACTGCTGATTCTGTACATGTCATTCATCTGTGAATAGTCAATACTGTAATGATTTATGTCACTTTACCTACTCATCACCCTGCTCTATGTGTGTATAACTTTGCTCTAAACATATAAAGATAGATAGAGATATATTGGTGTTGTGTCTGCTCCCTGTGTGCTATTACTACTGTCCTGTCTGTGCGCTGCAACATTGAAATTTCCCCACTGTGGGACACACGCTTCACGCTGCTGTGAGACCACACAGCTGCCGTCACAAACTTTTCCTTTACGGCTTCTGCAGAAGAGAGCGGGGGGAGGGGGGAGGGGGGACCAAAAGGGCATCATGGGAGTTGTAGTGTCGTGACAAATGCTGCAACAAGGAGCTGTAACCGTAAACCACAAAAGTAGTTACAAAAGTCATAAAATATAAAAGTATTGTGGTTCCTTCATCAGGGACCAATGAAATGTGTCAGAACAGTTTGGACTTTTCTTCAACCGTTGATGAGTCACAGAACCAGGGTACATCTGAGCACTATAAGGGACTATAAGGAGCACAGGGACTGGCCTCATGCTGGAACTCTGAGGAGCACAGGGACTGGCCTCATGCTGGAACTCTGAGGAGCACAGGGACTGGCCTCTTCCTGCTGGGACTATAAGGAGCACAGGGACTGGCCTCCTGCTGGGACTCTGAGGAGCACAGGGACTGGCCTCCTGCCGGGACTCTGAGGAGCACAGGGACTGGCCTCCTGCTGGGACTCTGAGGAGCACAGGGACTGACCTCCTGCTGGGACTCTGAGGAGCACAGGGACTGGCCTCCTGCCGGGACTCTGAGGAGCACAGGGACTGGCCTCCTGCTGGGACTCTGAGGAGCACAGGGACTGGCCTCCTGCTGGGACTCTGAGGAGCACAGGGACTGGCCTCCTGCCGGGACTCTGAGGAGCACAGGGACTGGCCTCCTGCTGGGACTCTGAGGAGCACAGGGACTGGCCTCCTGCTGGGACTCTGAGGAGCACAGGGACTGGCCTCCTGCTGGTCCCAGAGTCAGAACTGAACAGGAGGAGGCAGCCTTTCAGATTCATGCTACAATCTGGAACAGTCTTCCTGAAAATGTGAGACAGGCTTCTTCTCTTCAAATCCAGGTTGTTTTGCTGCAGCAACTGAAGGATTTTTATCTTTACTCTTTTTAACGCACTGCGATTATTTATGATATTTTAATGTTATATTTTCTTCTGTTATGGACTGTGGCTGTGCATTTAGATCAACGATTATAAAGGACTTCTTTAACTCCAGCTCCTTCCAGTTTCTCCTTCTGTTCCCGGGGACCTCTCACGGACAGATTTTTATATTTTTTCTCAGTGACTTTTCTAACGAACTGTTGTGACGCAGACGACTCTGTGGAGAAAACCATCGCGCCTCAAATACTTCACTTTAAAACACAGAGACGACGGTGAAACATTCTGTGACAGCGGCGGCGAGTTATGTTGTTTGAATGAGCTCTGACTCTGCCCCGGTCCCTGAGCCACGCACCTCTGCACCTTTACGCTCTGCCTGGGAACCCACCGCCACAACTCAGCCCGGTCCAGCCCAGTCCAGCCCGGTCCAGGAACAAAGACCAGAGGCGCTGGATCCAGAATGTTTCATTACGTTTTATTATGTGACGTTTATGGAATCACATCAACAACCAGAACATACCGTTTGCTACGCAGCTCTTTGTCGAGTTGGAGTTAAAAAACATACTGTGAAGTCCATGTACAGAAAGTAAAAAGCTACAGTTGTGCAAAGAATAAGAAGAAGAAGAAGAAATAATACACTTTATTGATTTCACAATGGAGACATTTGGTTTGATTTATACACGGGCGGCACGGTGGCTGAGTGGTTAGCACTCTCGCCTCTCAGCAAGAAGGTCCTGGGTTCGAATCCCGGTTGGACCAGGGCCTTTCTGAGTGGAGTTTGCATGTTCTCCCCGTGTCTGCTTCGGTTTCCTCCGGGTGCTCCGGTTTCCTCCGGGTGCTCCGGTTTCCCCTACCACTAAAAATATGTACAATAAGTCTGGCATGTGCCTCCTGTACTGGCCCCGCTCCCAAAAATAACAATCGTAAACCGCTTTGAGACTCCGATGTGCAGTGAAAAGGCGGTATATAAATAAAAGATTACTACTACTACACATATAGACATACACACAGTACAGTACTCGGGGTACTGCAAAATGAACCAGACTAAATTCATGTGGGCTGCACAGAATTTTTTCCCATAGAACTCAATGTAAACTAACACAGCTGGACCTCAGCTGACAGAGAACCTGACAGAGAACCTACAGCTTTCATAAAGGTCGCATTTTGTGGGGATTTTATTGTCCCTTGTCATCCTGAACTTTTTTTCTTCTTAAATCCTTTGGTTTTCTTTAAATCCACACTTTAGTGCCACAAACTCTGCTCGTCTGGCTCCTCCCCTTAATCCATGTCTGGGTCGGGGGGGTGGCCGTCAGTCCACAGAGCACCAGCCCCTCACTGATCCTCCTGCAGGTGCTGAGTCCACAGGAACTGAGATCTTTCAGTGGGGACTTCAGGCAAAGTGGGGTTAAGTGTCTTGCCCAAGGACACAACAACAGCAGTCATTAGTGGGAGTCGTGAAGTGGGTCTCACGGTGGGCTCGAACCCACGACCTTCAGGCTCAAAGGCCAATGCTCTACACACTGAGCCACTGTCGCCTCAATGCATGAGAGCCACACACGCATATTTGGCGCAAAGCATCATGGGAGATAATCCACTGCACAGAACTGGGAGGACCAGACGATGCCCAAATACAGGCGAGTTTTGCTAATCTTTTTTTGAATTTGAATACGGCCCCATCTTGGATCGCCGGGGCTTGCATGGTACTTCCTGGTTCTACTCAGAGCTGGAGTTGCAGTGTTTTGAATACTCTGCAGCTGTGTTAAAACTCGTCTGGAGAAAAGCGTGAGCAGCAGTTTTTGATTCTGGTGTTTTTTAGATAAAGGTTTGATAGATTTGGTGAAACTCTGTAATGTTTCAGAATGTTTAGTCCACAAAACAGGAGCAAATGGAAACATGTGGAGATGTGTGAACACAAGCGACAAAGGAACGTGACGGGAATATTTACTCAAGACACGATGGACCTGAGACCCTCCAAACAGAGGCTCAGACTGAACTCTGAGAAGCTGCGGACACGTCTGGTTGTTTGTTTTTGCTTAAAGGAGGAAAACTCTGGACTCACAAGTTTATTCAGGTTTTTAGTTATTTTGCATTTTAGTTTTTAGAAGGATTGTTTTCTAGATCTTCAGCGGTTTTGAATGAACATTAGCTACATAATGATAACAGTTTTTGAGAGACGGCCCTTTTTATTTGAGAAATCGGTCGACGCCTACAGCCAAAGGAACTACCGTATTTTCTGGATTATAAGCCGCACCTGATTATAAGCCGCACTTTTCCCACATTGAAAGAAGTGACTGTTTGTAATCTTCAGTGTGAAGCAGAAAGATCAGGAGATAAATCGGTCTCTCTCTCTTTCATGTCTGAGCAAGGAACCCAAAAACGATTTATCATGTGAGATATTTACACAAAGATTACATAAGTGAGGACTTTTAAACTTTATTTAATCTGATTAATTGACACATTTTACATTTAATTGGACCTCTGTGAACTATGTTTTTGGCAACACAGAAAATAAATACATACAAAAATAAAGCCGCACCTTACAATAAGCCGCAGCAGCAAGATGCAGAAAAAAAGCTGCGGCTTATAGTCCGAAAAATACGGTACTAAGTTCTAACCACTAACCTCACTCTTGCTCATTCGTCGCCAGTACAGGAGGCACAGGCCAGATCTATTGTACATGTTTGTAGTGGGAGGGGAGACCGGAGCACCCGGAGGAAACCTACGCAGACACAGGGAGAACATGCAAACTCCACTCAGAAAGGCCCTGTTCTGACCAGGATTCGAACGCAGGAACGAATGGGGCGCCCAGAAGTACATCTTGACCTAGGACTGAAAACTCGCTAAAGTCACTTTTTAACCCTAACTTTGATTTTAATTATACACTGAATACGTCTATTGAACATTTCCTGTTTTTTTCACATTTCTGTCTCTTTGCACAGAGTGATTCTTTTTATTCCAAAATAAAACATTTGTCCATTGTGAAAGCAATAAAGTTTATCTTTTTTAAGGGTAGGTTCCCCAGCTTTAAGGTGCCATTTCACACTGAAACGCAACTTTGTGTAGACGTGACAACATGTGTGTGTCTCTGACTGATGGAGTCTTTGTGGAGAGTTTCTTCTGGACTGAAGCTGAAGTGACGCAACAGCAGAGAAACTGTTAATCTCTGGGAACCTGCTCCTCCACGAGACCCTGGACTCCCTCTGTCAGCCCTGCTAATCTCACTGTGTGTGTGTGTGTGTGTGTGTGTGTGTCTGTGTGTGTGTGTGTGTGTGTGTGTGTGTGTGTGTGTGTCTGTCTGTGTGTGTGTCTGTGTGTGTTTCAGATCTTCTCTGACATGTCCTCATTGTCTGAAGCAGAGTCACACGTTTGACCCATTCCTGTGCATTTCTCTTCCGATCCCGCAGCGTCAGACCAGGTGATGTCACACTATGAATACATGTGTCAGACCAGGTGATGTCACACTATGAATACATGCGTCAGACCAGGTGACGTCACACTATGAATACATGTGTCAGACCAGGTGACGTCACACTATGAATACATGCGTCAGACCAGGTGACGTCACACTATGAATACATGTGTCAGACCAGGTGATGTCACACTATGAATACATGCGTCAGACCAGGTGACGTCACACTATGAATACATGTGTCAGACCAGGTGACGTCACACTATGAATACATGCGTCAGACTAGGTGACGTCACACTATGAATACATGTGTCAGACCAGGTGACGTCACACTATGAATACATGTGTCAGACCAGGTGACGTCACACTATGAATACATGTGTCAGACCAGGTGACGTCACACTATGAATACATGCGTCAGACCAGGTGACGTCACACTATGAATACATGTGTCAGACCAGGTGACGTCACACTATGAATACATGCGTCAGACTAGGTGACGTCACACTATGAATACATGTGTCAGACCAGGTGATGTCACACTATGAATACATGCGTCAGACCAGGTGACGTCACACTATGAATACATGTGTCAGACCAGGTGACATCACACTATGAATACATGTGTTAGACCAGGTGACGTCACACTATGAATACATGCGTCAGACCAGGTGACGTCACACTATGAATACATGCGTCAGACCAGGTGACGTCACACTATGAATACATGTGTCAGACCAGGTGACGTCACACTATGAATACATGTGTCAGACCAGGTGACGTCACACTATGAATACATGTGTCAGACCAGGTGACGTCACACTATGAATACATGCGTCAGACCAGGTGACGTCACACTATGAATACATGTGTCAGACCAGGTGACGTCACACTATGAATACATGCGTCAGACCAGGTGACGTCACACTATGAATACATGTGTCAGACCAGGTGATGTCACACTATGAATACATGCGTCAGACCAGGTGACGTCACACTATGAATACATGTGTCAGACCAGGTGACGTCACACTATGAATACATGAGTCAGACTAGGTGACGTCACACTATGAATACATGTGTCAGACCAGGTGACGTCACACTATGAATACATGTGTCAGACCAGGTGACGTCACACTATGAATACATGTGTCAGACCAGGTGACGTCACACTATGAATACATGCGTCAGACCAGGTGACGTCACACTATGAATACATGTGTCAGACCAGGTGACGTCACACTATGAATACATGCGTCAGACTAGGTGACGTCACACTATGAATACATGTGTCAGACCAGGTGATGTCACACTATGAATACATGCGTCAGACCAGGTGACGTCACACTATGAATACATGTGTCAGACCAGGTGACATCACACTATGAATACATGTGTTAGACCAGGTGACGTCACACTATGAATACATGCGTCAGACCAGGTGACGTCACACTATGAATACATGCGTCAGACCAGGTGACGTCACACTATGAATACATGCGTCAGACCAGGTTACGTCACACTATGAATACATGTGTCAGACCAGGTGACGTCACACTATGAATACATGCGTCAGACCAGGTGACGTCACACTATGAATACATGTGTCAGACCAGGTGACGTCACACTATGAATACATGTGTCAGACCAGGTGACGTCACACTATGAATACACGCGTCAGACCAGGTGACGTCACACTATGAATGCATGTGTCAGACCAGGTGACGTCACTCTCTGAACACATGCGTCAGACCAGGTGACGTCACACTATGAATACATGCGTCAGACCAGGTGACGTCACACTATGAATACATGTGTCAGACCAGGTGACGTCACACTATGAATACATGCGTCAGACCAGGTGACGTCACACTATGAATACATGTGTTAGACCAGGTGACGTCACACTATGAATACATGCGTCAGACCAGGTGACGTCACACTATGAATACATGCGTCAGACCAGGTGACGTCACACTATGAATACATGTGTCAGACCAGTTGACGTCACACTATGAATACATGCGTCAGACCAGGTGACGTCACTTTCTGAACACATGCGTCAGACCAAGTGACGTCACACTATGAATACATGCGTCAGACCAGGTGACGTCACACTATGAATACATGTGTCAGACCAGGTGACGTCACACTATGAATACATGCGTCAGACCAGGTGACGTCACACTATGAATACATGTGTCAGACCAGGTGACATCACACTATGAATACCTGCGTCAGACCAGGTGACGTCACACTATGAATACATGTGTTAGACCAGGTGACGTCACACTATGAATACATGCGTCAGACCAGGTGACGTCACACTATGAATACATGTGTCAGACCAGGTGACGTCACACTATGAATACATGTGTCAGACCAGGTGACGTCACACTATGAATACATGCGTCAGACCAGGTGACGTCACTCTCTGAACACATGCGTCAGACCAGGTGACGTCACACTATGAATACATGCGTCAGACCAGGTGACGTCACACTATGAATACATGTGTCAGACCAGGTGACGTCACACTATGAATACATGCGTCAGACCAGGTGACGTCACACTATGAATACATGTGTAAGACCAGGTGACGTCACACTATGAATACATGCGTCAGACCAGGTGACGTCACACTATGAATACATGCGTCAGACCAGGTGACGTCACACTATGAATACATGTGTCAGACCAGGTGACATCACACTATGAATACATGCGTCAGACCAGGTGACGTCACACTATGAATACATGCGTCAGACCAGGTGACGTCACACTATGAATACACGTTTCAGACCAGATGACGTCACACTATGAATACATGCGTCAGACCAGGTGACGTCACACTATGAATACATGTGTCAGACCAGGTGACGTCACACTATGAATACATGTGTCAGACCAGGTGACGTCACACTATGAATACATGCGTCAGACCAGGTGACGTCACTCTCTGAACACATGCGTCAGACCAGGTGACGTCACACTATGAATACATGCGTCAGACCAGGTGACGTCACACTATGAATACATGTGTCAGACCAGGTGACGTCACACTATGAATACATGCGTCAGACCAGGTGACGTCACACTATGAATACATGTGTTAGACCAGGTGACGTCACACTATGAATACATGCGTCAGACCAGGTGACGTCACACTATGAATACATGCGTCAGACCAGGTGACGTCACACTATGAATACATGTGTCAGACCAGGTGTACATCACACTATGAATACATGCGTCAGACCAGGTGACGTCACACTATGAATACATGCGTCAGACCAGGTGACGTCACACTATGAATACACGTTTCAGACCAGATGACGTCACACTTTGAATACATGCGTCAGACCAGGTGACGTCACTCTCTGAACACATGCGTCAGACCAGGTGACGTCACACTATGAATACATGCGTCAGACCAGGTGACGTCACACTATGAATACATGTGTCAGACCAGGTGACGTCACACTATGAATACATGCGTCAGACCAGGTGACGTCACACTATGAATACATGCGTCAGACCAGGTGACGTCACACTATGAATACATGCGTCAGACCAGGTGACGTCTCTCTCTGAACACATGCGTCAGACCAGGTGACGTCACACTATGAATACATGTGTCAGACCAGGTGACGTCACACTATGAATACATGCGTCAGACCAGGTGACGTCACACTATGAATACATGTGTCAGACCAGGTGACGTCACACTATGAGTACTCTTCCTCCATAATATAAATTGACAAATCTACTCTTGCTTACGCATATATATGCATATACCCACGTACATGTATACACATATACACATATACAGTAGTTGTACTTTCTTTCAGCCTTTTATGAACTCAGCAGAAGAATTTAATCAGTTTGACCTGTTCTCTGGTCGATCGTCTCCAACATTTGTTAAATTCTGGTGTTTTTCTCCCAAAAACATCCGCTCTAAAATGTGACATCACGACATCCTCACGTTTAACCTGCAGTACTTTGTTCCCGCGCTGTTCTTCTGAGCGATATTTACTCCAGTGTTTACTACAGCGACATCACAAACAAAGCCTCACTCTCAGCTCTTCATAGATTTTAAAAACTACATTTTGCTTTTAACCAAAAATAACTCGGAGCCGCCTCTGATTCTCCGCTTTTCAAAGACTCCATTATGTCGCTGTCACTTCTTCTCTCACTTCCTCCGACTTCAAAATGGAGGAATCCCATTATCGGAGCAGATAACACAGGGCTGACGCTGACTTATTCATGCTGTGCTGGTTTATTCACGCGGGTCTTCGGTGCGAGGTGCTGAGCGGGCGCCTTGTGTGCAGGTCGCTGTCCCTGGTCCTGGTCTTCAGCAGCAAAGGCCAGCGGTACCTGCGGGTGGCGCTGTCCGTGCCGCTGTTCGGGTCGGTGGGGTGTCTGCGGAGGTTGGCGGCGGAGCAGGGCGGCTTGTCTCCGGACCAGGTGGGACCACAGCAGACCACAGTTTTCTAACTGTCTTTTCTAAATGACTAGTAGTTTCTTAAGGCAAGGCAAGGCAAGTTTATTTGTATAGCACAATTCATACACAAGGCAACTCAAAGTGCTGAACAAAACAAGATAGAATTAAAATCATACATAATCACAGAACATTAAAAAGAAAGATAAAAATATAAAATCCCTCAGTTGTAGCACAGCTAAACAGCACCGTTTTTAACCTGGTTTTAAACATTGTCAGAGAGGAGGCCTGTCTCACATCTTCAGGGAGATTGTTCCAGATTTTAGCAGCATGAATCTGAAAAGCAGCCTCCCCATGTTTAGTTCTGACTCTGGGCACTAACAGGAGTCCAGTCCCTGTGCTCCTCAGAGTCCCAGAAGGAGTCCAGTCCCTGTGCTCCTCAGAGTCCCAGCAGGAGTCCAGTCCCTGTGCTCCTCAGAGTCCCAGCAGGAGTCCAGTCCCTGTGCTCCTCAGAGTCCCAGCAGGAGTCCAGTCCCTGTGCTCCTCAGAGTCCGGGCTGGTTCATATGGGACTAACATGTCACTAATATATTTTGGTGCGAGGCCATGGAGAGACTTGTAACAAGCAGAGCTGTTTTAAAGTCTATTCTCTGAGCCACAGGAAGCCAGTGCAGAGACCTGAGGACTGGACTAATGTGGTTGTACTTCCTGGTTCTAGTCAGGACTAATATGGTCGTACTTCCTGGTTCTAGTCAGGACTCGAGCTGCTGCATTTTGAATGTACTGCAGCTGTTTTACAGCCTGTTTGGACAGACCTGTGAGCAGGCCATTGCAGTAGTCTAACCTACTGGAGACAAATGCATGGATAACAATCTCCAAGTCTGCTTTAAAGGACTTTTCTCTGCTTTAAACATCATTAAGTGAAATAGATACAAATAACTACTTACAGTAAGTCATGGTTAATACTGTGATAGAAACTGCTGTTGTGTCCTTAGGCAAGACACTTGAGAGTGAGTCTGGTGTGTGTTTGAATGGTTGGTGGTGGTGGGAGAGGCCAATGGTTCCCTCGCTTCTGTCAGTGTGCCCCAGGGCAGCTGTGGCTACAGTAGTCTTTGAGTGTCCAAAAACATTATAAACGTGTGTATGTCTGTGTGTGGGTGTTTGTGTTTCTGTGTGTGTCTGTGTGTGTCTGTGGGTGTGTGTTTCTGTGTGTTTGTGTGTCTCTTTGTGTCTCTTTGTGTGTGTCTGCGTGTGTGTGTGTGTCTGTGTCTGTCTGTGTGTGTCTGTGTGTGTGTCTGTGTGTGTCTGTGGGTGTGTGTTTCTGTGTGTTTGTGTGTCTGTGTGTGTCTGCGTGTGTGTGTGTCTGTGTCTGTCTGTGTGTGTGTCTGTCTGTCTGTCTGTCTGTGTGTGTGTGTGTGTGTGTGTGTGTGTGTGTGTGTGTGTGTGTGTGTGTGTGTGTCTGTGTGTGTGTGTGTGTGTGTGTGTGTGACTGTGTGTCTGTGTGTGTGTGTGTCTGTGTGTGTGTGTGTGTGTGTGTGACTGTGTGTCTGTGTGTGTGTGTGTCTGTGTGTGTGTGTGTGTGTGTGTGACTGTGTGTCTGTGTGTGTGTGTGTCTGTGTGTGTGTGACTGTGTGTCTGTGTGTGTGTGTGTAGGTGATCCTGACTGAAGTGTACTCCAGTGGTTTTCAGCGGTCGTTCTTCGATGAGGACGATGTCTCCAGTATCACAGAGAACGACGTCATCTACGCCTTCCAAGCCCCGCCCCTTTACATCCGGGCCGGCTACACTCGCCTCTCAGGTACCCGCCCACTGTCACATGACACTGTCACATGACACTGTCACATGACACTGTCACATGACACTGTCACATGACACTGTCACATGACACTGTCACATGACCTGTGTTCTCTGTACCTACAACTCCGTTTTGTGACATTTCAATGCAGTCACTTTTACATGTGTCCTCCCATGTACTAGTCCAATTGAATCTGAGGAGCACAGGGACTGGTCTCCTGCTGTGACTCTGAGGAGCACAGGGACTGGACTCCTGCTGGGACTCTGAGGAGCACAGGGACTGGCCTCCTGCTGGGACTCTGAGGAGCACAGGGACTGGCCTCCTGCTGGGACTCTGAGGAGCACAGGGACTGGTCTCCTGCTGTGACTCTGAGGAGCACAGGGACTGGCCTCCTGCTGGGACTCTGAGGAGCACAGGGACTGGTCTCCTGCTGTGACTCTGAGGAGCACAGGGACCCTCATTCTACTCTGGTCGTCCAGATCCAAACACCTTTTTGCTCTCTCCCCAACACGCTGCACTAAATCTGGACCTGTTTTCACTCCAACAAAAGCACAGAGTAAATGATCCGTCTCACTGCAGGGGGCCGCGATCACATGACCTACTGTTGCTGACCTTCTGTCCTGCTGCACCGGCCCACACTGTACCACCGCCACAGAGCAGTGGTCTCAAACACGTGGCTGTGGCGGTTTGTGTGGCCCCTGCTGGTCAGAGCGGCCCCCACTGAGAGTCCAAATGTATTATTCATTATTTTTAAGATAAACTTTATTAAACCCAGTCGACAAAACAAAGCCTTGTTGCTTTTCGTCCGGTTTTGTTTCAATCGCAGCAGCTGGACTCATTTAGTTAATCAGAATACATAACAATTACATCAAACTCATATTCAATAAAAGTCATTATTTGGTCAAAACACCTTCATAAAAAGTCACAGATTCACCAATAAACTTCAAAACATTCCCCAAAAGCTGGATTCTTGGTTTTTATTTTATTTAGTATTTATTAGTTTCTTTTAGGGACAGTACACATGAACCAACTGTAAATGTGTCGTTATTAGCTAACAGCGCGTTTCCACCTGTAGTCCCAGAGGCAACGAGTAAAATGCCACTGCAAACATGACAATATCAAAACAATAACATTATCATTTAAAACAGGTCATTAAAACATTTCATATTCTCCTGCACACACACAAACACGTGATAAACATAGCCCTTAATGCGGCCCAGCTTCACCCAGACTCCACCTCATGCGGTTCACATTGAGACCTCTGCTTTAGAGTCAGGACGAATGTCCCACTTTACCGTCGCCGCGGAGACTGGACCCTCGCACATGAAGAGGAAGAATGCTTTGGCCCAACATGGCCGACTGGTTTTTGTGTGACATAATGTGAACAACGTCTTCATAACATCTCACACTCTAGTTTTAAGTTGTTTTTACCTCGCACATAAAGATTCTTCTTTGTTTTGGTCTTTCTCAGTCCAGGTCTGTAGTTTGAATGATGTCAGTGGAGTTTGGGTGTTTTTCTTTGAGCTGCTGCAGTTAAAGCTGAAATCCACATGAACGTGCATCCAGACTGTTCAGAGCTTTTGTGCATGTTTGTAGTGGTAAACCGTAGCACCCAGAGGAAACCTATATGCAGACACAGGGAGAACATGCAAACCCCACTCAGAAACTGTCCTGTCTTGCGGAGGAGATTATATAATGGCTCTTACAAAGTGCTCTTTCCACGCTCCACAGGACTCTGAAGGGTCATCAATCATCTGTCACCTCCTGATTAAATAATATCACTTTATTCAAACCAAATGAACAAAGAGAGAAAGAGTCTCGCTCCAGAACGTTTGTGCTCAATCTTCATAGAACCTTCACATACGGGACTCTGAGGAGTACAGGGACTGGCCTCCTGCTGGGACTCTGAGGAGCACAGGGACTGGCCTCCTGCTGGGACTCTGAGGAGTACAGGGACTGGCCTCCTGCTGGGACTCTGAGGAGCACAGGGACTGGACTCCTGCTGGGACTCTGAGGAGCACAGGGACTGGCCTCCTGCTGGGACTCTGAGGAGCACAGGGACTGGCCTCCTGCTGGGACTCTGAGGAGCACAGGGACTGGACTCCTGCTGGGACTCTGAGGAGCACAGGGACTGGCCTCCTGCTGGGACTCTGAGGAGCACAGGGACTGGCCTCCTGCTGGGACTCTGAGGAGCACAGGGACTGGACTCCTGCTGGGACTCTGAGGCGCACAGGGACTGGCCTCCTGCTGGGACTCTGAGGAGCACAGGGACTGGCCTCCTGCTGGGACTCTGAGGAGCACAGGGACTGGCCTCCTGCTGGGACTCTGAGTCTCAGTGTTGTGGTACAGTGTTGTGTATCTCAGGGTTGTATTAACCATCAGAGTTGTGTGTCTCAGGGTTGTGTTAACCATCAGAGTTGTGTGTCTCAGGGTTGTGTTAACCATCAGAGTTGTGTGTCTCAGGGTTGTGTTAACCATCAGAGTTGTGTGTCTCAGGGTTGTGTTAACCATCAGAGTTGTGTGTCTCAGGGTTGTGTTAACCATCAGAGTTGTGTGTCTCAGGGTGCCACCACAGCCTGCCCTCCTCCCCGTTGGCAGTGGCCGTGGTCGGGGGCAGAATGACGGCGTCTGCAGCAGTGTCCACAGAGTTTCTGCCTCAGAGCGTCACACACAAGGTCCTGCTGCTGGTCTGCAACGCATCAGGCACTGGGCATCAGGTGGTCAGGTGAGAGGGGTGTGTGTGTGTGTGTGTGTGAGTGTGTGTCTGTGTGTGTGTCTCTGTATGTGTGTGTGTGTGTGTGAGTGTGTGTCTGTGTGTGTGTGTCTGTGTGTGTGTGTGTGTGTGTGTCTGTGTGTGTGTGTGTGTGTCTGTGTGTGTGTGTGTGTGTGTGTCTGTGTGTGTGTCTGTGTGTGTGTGTGTGTCTGTGAGTGTGTGTGTGTGTGTGTGTGTGTGTGTGTGTGTGTGTGTGTGTGTGTGTGTGTGTGTGTGTGTGTGTGTGTGTGTGTGTGTGTGTGTGTCTGTGTGTGTGTGTGTCTGTGTGTGTGTGTGTGTCTGTGTGTCTGTGTGTCTGTGAGTGTGTGTCTGTGTGTGTGTGTGTGTGTGTGTCTGTGTGTGTGTGTGTGTCTGTGAGTGTGTGTGTGTCTGTGTGTGTCTGTGAGTGTGTGTGTGTGTGTGTGTGTCTGTGAGTGTGTGTCTGTGTGTGTGTGTGTGTGTGTGTCTGTGAGTGTGTGTGTGTCTGTGTGTGTGTGTGTGTGTGTCTGTGAGTGTGTGTCTGTGTGTGTGTGTGTGTGTGAGTGTGTGTCTGTGTGTGTGTGTGTGTGTGTGTCTGTGTGTGTGCACTTGTTTTCAACTCCTGGTGGGTTCCATAACCTGAGATTCCACTCACGTCATGGGGACTGGTTTTACGTGGTGGGGCCCGAACACCGGACCCCACTGGTCCAAGCTTAATAATCAATGGGTAATGCTTTTCTAACGGTCCTTATGCAGTCTCTGTAAAAATATGGAAAGGACCCCTGGAGGTTTACTTTCCTGAAAAAAGTGTGTTATGTGTCGGAACCCTGGTGGTGGGTTGCGGGATATCAAGGAGGGGCACACTGGGGCAATTTCAGTCCAGCAGGCTGGAGCCAATCATGGAGCAGCACAACAGAGGAAATCAGGTGTCAGGCTAGAAAAAGGTGCAAGTGTGTGGTTCATTAGGCTGCAAGAAATCATGGAGGAGCACACTGAAGCGCACGCTTACAAACCACTGGTAAGTGCTGACTACAAGTCATGACTTCAAATTGTTATATAGAATGATTACAAATTATTTGTTGTTTGTGCAGCTTAGTCAAGAGTCCCTAATTGATGAAGTCGACTCAGATTCTGACGATTTAACTGTCAAGAAGAAACCTGTAAAAAAGTATGGAAAAAGAAAAATCAAAAACACTTTTCTTCAAGACTCGGAAAGTGACGAACCAAAGGCAAATAAGATTGTTATCATGCAGCTGCAAAAGAAGAAAAATGGGGGGCGAGTATACAGCAAGAGACACTTCTGCCTCTACTGTTCAATGTCCTGCCACAAAATGTCCCGTCATTTGACTAGAAAACATGGAAATGAAAGTGACGTAGCCAGAGCATTGGCTCTACCTGTGAAACCTAAAGCACGTAAACTTCAGTTTGATTTGATCAGGAATAGTGGAAACCGTGAGCACAATTTTGAGGTTTTAAAGGCCGGCATTGGAACTTTAGTCCCAGCTAAACAGCCAAATTGCCCAGTTAAATCCAGTGAGTTTTTGCACTGTATAGACTGTGGGGCATTGCTTAAGCGAAAGTCGCTGTGGAGGCATGTGGCCAGGTGCCGGCTTTCACAGAAAGATGCCCAGGCTAAACCAGGTAGAAGTAGGGTCCAGTCCCTCTGCTCCCTAGCCCAGCCTGTACCGGAGGGCATCAGCAAAAAGCTGTGGTCTTTAATTTCGGCAATGCATCAGGATGAGGTCACGGGTGTTGTCAAAGCAGAAAAGGGGATTCTGAGACTCGGAGAGCACCTGTACTTAAAACACGGGCATGATAAGACAAAGCATGATTACATTAGGCAGAAAATGAGAGAAGTCGGTAGGTTAATTAACGAAGCAAAAACCGCAGGGAAACTGAAAACAATTAAGGATTTCTTTATTCCTTCCAACTTTAACCATGTGATTGATGCAGTCAGGTCTGTGGCTGGATATGATGAGGAAACAAATCAATACAAGACTCCATCCTTGGCCCTCAAACTCGGCCATAGCCTCAGAAAGCTAGCAGATATTCTTGAATGTGACTCAAAAATGGAGCATTGTGTTGATGAACTATTTATTAAAAACCTCCAACGAAGCCGGCTGCTTTTTGAGAAGAGGTGGGACGTCTGTGTTTCTTCTGCTGCCCTACAGACCCTCCGGCAAGCCAAGTGGAACACTCCGGACCTGCTCCCTCTGACTGAGGACGTTAGAGCCATGCATGCACATATTGAGGTATGTCGACCTGAATATGTGCAAACCCTAATAAGTGAGCCAACGTCTAAGCATTGGTCTAAACTGGCAGTTTTGACTCTTTGTGAGGTCATCATTTTCAATCGAAGAAGGGAAGGTGAGGTTTCAAAGATGCCACTGACAGCCTTTACCTTAAGAAGTAAGACTGGGATCCATTCTGACATTGCTCTGGGACTGTCCCAACTTGAGAAAAAGCTGTGTCAGCATTTTCAACGCATTGAAATTAAAGGGAAAAGAAGTCGGAAAGTGCCGGTTCTTTTGACTCCTGAAATGATTGCTTGGATGGAGGTGCTGGT